CCAAATGTTCTCTATAGGTGAAAGATCTGGACTGCAGGCTGGCCATTTCAGTACCCGGATCCTTCTCCTACGTAGCCATGATGTTGTGATTGCTGCAGAATGTGGTCTGGCATTATCGTGTTGAAAAATGCAGGGTCTTCCCTGAAAGAGATGACGTCTAGATGGGAGCATATGTTGTTCTAGAACCTGAACATAGTTCTCTGCATTAATGGTGCCTTTCCAGACATGCAAGCTGCCCATGCCACAAGCGCTCATGCAACCCCATACCATCAGTGATGCAGGCTTCTGAACGGAGCGTTGATAACAACTTGGGCTATCCTTGTCCTCTCTGGTCCGGATGACATGGCGTCCCAGTGTTCCATAAAGAACTTCAAATCGTGACTCATCTGACCACAGAACAGTCTTCCATTTTGCCACACTCCATTTTAAATGACCCCTGGCCCAGTGCAAACATCTGAGCTTGTGGAGCTTGCTTAGAAATGGCTTCCTCTTTGCACTGTAGAGTTTCAGCTGGCAACGGCGGATGGCACAGTGGATTGTGTTCACTGACAATGCTTTCTGGAAGTATTCCTGAGCCCATTCTGTTAGTTCCTTGACAGTGGCATTCCTGGGTGATTAAAGTAGGGTCAGGTGTATGTGAGAGACTGAAGAAAGATAGAGGAAGCGGACTGAGGGTGAAGGAGAAAAGGTAGAGGGAACTAAACAGGAATAACCACAGAGAATACACAAAAATCCCCAAAACAAACCCAACAATAAAGTGCTAAAACACAGATGGATAAGAATCTAAACTGACAAAACACAACTGAACGCAAAAGACAGATGGAGGAAAAAAAACTATGAATGAAATAAGAGTAGGGTGGCACGGTTGGTAGAGCTGACGCTTCTCAGCGAGCAAGTTGCCAGTTCCAATCCCAGCCAGGGGCCTTTCTGGGTGGAGTTTGCATGTTCTCTCCGTGTATGCGTGGGTTTTCTTCGGGTACTCCGGTTTACTCCAACAGACCAAAAACATGCATGTTAGGCTGATTGGTAACTCTAAATTGTCCCTAGGTGTGAGTGAGAGAGTGAATGGTTATTTGTCTCATTTGTCTCTATGTGTCCCTGTGATGGACTGGAGACCTGTCCAGGGTGTCCCTGCCTCTTGCAGAGTGATTGCTGCTGGATATGGGCACCAGTGACCCCTGCGACCCAAAATGGAAAAAGCAGGTAAAGATAAAGGATGAATGAAAATAAAAGTAAAAGAAAAACTCAACGAACTTGATGAATAACAGAAAATCTTACTATGACATATTTCAATTTGAACCTGCATCCTGTTGGCTTAAACTCGTTTTCTTTTTATTTATTCAGATTGATGGGCTGCGCTTTGTCAGAGATCAGCTGTTCTTCTCTGGGCTCAGCTCTGAAGTCGAACCCCTCCCATCTGACACAACTGGACCTGAGTAACAACAACCTGTCTGACTCCAAAGTGAAGGCGCTCTGTGGTTTCCTGGAGAGTCCAAACTGTAGACTGGAGGTTCTGAGGTCAGTTCACTGCAGCTGTTGGAGGTTTTCTATGTTTGTCCAACTTCATGCTGCTCTTTGTGTGTGCAGTTAGCAAATTATTTCATTAACTAAGGAATGCTGTTCAAATTATTATTGGATGAACATCTATAACTGATTATTTTTTTAGGGCATCCCATAGCTAATCAGCTAAACAAAAACATTCACATACAAAAAAAACAGCCAATTAGTAAAAATTACTGATATCTATCTAAAGCCCTATTTGCACGGGATTAGTTTTACCTAGGTACCACATGCGCTTTGCAGTAATTACAGGGATTGTCTGTGTTGTTAATCCCGTGCAAATCGGCCATGTCAGTAATTTGTAAAGTAAAAATTCCCCCGCAAATTACCTACTATATTTTGCTGAACTCCGAGGTCCTGTGATAATACTAATCTAATGTGAATAGGCATCTCTGTGATTTTGACAGAAATGGGCGGGATCCGATACGTAATGAGGCGTTTTTTGTTTTTGTTTAAGCAAAATCATTTGGAAAAATATAGAACAAGGCTATTTTAAATGAATGCGCTGCTCGCTTCAGCTTTTGTAGATGCTGCTACTTCTTTATCTGCAAATGACAGCAGGTACAGAGACACTCGCATAATCAGCTGACCGATCTGTCCATCCATCCATTATATTCAATTCAATTCAAAAATACTTTATGAATCCCAAAGGGAAATTATTTGTTGTTGTAACTCGTTATCCTCATTTCATTAAGAGATGCTATAGATACTGATGACTGCAGGCAGGAAGGATCTCTTGTAAAGGTCCATCCCACAGTGGATCCTAAGAAACTGGCTGCAGATGCTGTCCAATCCGTCCACCCAGACTCGGTTGGCCTCTCGGTTCTCTGGGGCTGTAGGACCGCCCGAATGCCGGGCAGAACTCCTCCCAGAGCGATGGCCACTCCTCCCAGCAGTCTGCCGAGCTCCTCATCCCTGCAGACAGCCAACTGTATGTGCCAAGGGACGATCCTGTCCTTCCGTTGTCATGAGTCGTGTTTCCTGCTTGTTCCAGGATATCAGTGGTCAGGCACTCGAGCACAGCTGGAAGGTAGATGAGAATGCATCCACAGAACATTCTTTTCAACTCATTTGAGATTTGGGGCTGTAGCTGAGATATTATTTGAGCTTTTGAGATGTTAATCAGCTGCTGTTGGTTGTAGAAAACTGACTTGTTGCCATGGTTATGCATCATAACAAATGTCCAAAAATAAAAAAAAATCAGTAAAAATCCTTCCAGCTGCACAGCATCTGATACCAGAGGAAACAATCATCCAAAAAATGTGATTTACATCCAGAAAAAGAGGAATTAAAGTTTCCAAAAGCAAAATCTCAGAATGAAAGTAACAGAACTGCTCCAACATGCAGCCACCTTGAGTGGTGCAATTCTAGAACAATTTACCCGCTTCTTCCTTTTTGGGTAGCAGGAGTTGCTGGTGCCCATGTCCAACTATCACTGTATGAGAGGCAGGGGACACCCTGGACAGGTCGCAAGTCCATTTCAACCGGCGGGTCAGCGGACATGTGACCACTCACGTGCAAGATGGGTGACAGTTGTCCATCTGAGCTTTTTTTACCTCTTAAACTGTCCGGTCGGAACTGCCTCCTCCTCAACAAGTAGATTAACACAATTTTATATTGTGCATTCTTATTTAGGTTTTTTTGTGCTGATTCGTAAAACCACATCAAAGCCTGAGACTGGCCCGGACCGCACATTAAGCACATTATTATGGACCAGTGCATTAACATCATATCTGGAAGATGTCCGTAAATTTCAGCTAAATCTCAGGCTTTGGTTATCCCGTGCGAATGCGCCACATAAAAAGCAGACATTGGGGAATTATTTATTTATTACATGTGGTCCCGAGGTAAAACTAATCCCGTGCGAATAGGGCTTTAGGAAGCCAGCAGATTACATTGTATCCACTTTGTTGCAGTCTCCCATCCTGAGCAAGCACATTGGCAACAGTGGAAAGGAAAAACTCCCTATTAACAGGAAGAAAACTCCAGCTTAACCAGGCTCAGGATGAGCAGCCATCTGCTTCAACCAGCTGGGTTTGAGAGGACAGAAAGGAGAAACAAACACAAAATGACAGGTCCAGATGCACTTTCTATTGGAGGAAAGACAAAGAAAAACAAGGATAGAAATAATTACAAATACAAACAGAGTAGAGCAAGTAAAGACCACAGCAGAGTGAGGAAATGTGGGCAATTTGTCCTGCAGTAGTCTAAGCCTATAGCAGCATAACTGAGGGATAGCTCAGGAAACCCAAGCTTATCCTAACTATAGGATTGATTTATCCATCCATCCATCCATCCATCCATCCATCATCTTTACCCGTTTCTTCCTTTTTGGGTCGCGGGGGTCGCTGGTGCCCATCTCCAGCCATCACTGTGCAAGAGGAGGGGTACACTCTGAACACGTCTCCAGTCCATCACAGGGACACATGGAGACAAATGAGACAACCATTCACTCGCTCACTCACACCTAGGGACAATTTAGAGTTACCTGTCAGTCTAACATGCATGTTTTTGGTCTGTGACAGGAAACTGGAGTACCTGGAGAAAACCCACACATGCACGGAGAGAACATGTAAACTCCACTATAGGATTTATCAAAAAGGAAAAAGTTAAGTCTAACCACAAAAAAGGTTAAATCATGTCATCTGAACCAGTTTCTTCAAGTGAGAAACGTCGGCCATCTGGCCTAAATTGTTGTACATAATGACTGATTGTTTTGGATGGGTTTGTTTTGCACATGTTAAAGCCTACTTCTAAAATTCCAGCAGAAGGTTGGCTTGAAACACAGCAGTGAAGGTTACCTATGGGACAGATCTGAATGGCAGGTCGCAGACTGACGAAGTCCTCTGGATGGGGGACGAAATGTTTCTCACTTAAAGAAACTGGTCCAGATTACATAATTTAATCTTGTTTGTTGTTACCTACCTGGATGATTGAGTTTACAAACCTTTTTTTAAGCCTAACCTTTAAAGTATATAATGTGTCAGCTTCACAGACAGAAACTGGAAGTTGATTCTTCAAGAGAGGAGCCTGATAGGGTCTGCCTCCCATTCTGCTTTTGGAAACTTTAGGAACCGCAAGTAAACCTGCAGTCTGAGAGCGAAGTGCTCTGTTAGGAAAATATGGAACAATAAGATCTGTAATATAAGATGGAGCTAGGTTGTTGAGAACTTTGTAGGTTAGAAGTAAGACTTTGAATTCTATTCTGAATTTGACAGGGAGCCAATGGAACGAAAATAAAACTGGAGAGATATGATATCTCCTACCAACACTCATTAAAACTCTGGCAGCAGCATTGGCAGAGCAATGTGGATATCCTAACTGGGCCTTCCTGAAAGCAGAGAAGAAACCCAAACAGGACTCCAGTCAGCCATCAGGTGAAAAGGAGGAACCCAGACCCAGACCAGTGGTCATTCCGTATGTTGAGGGAGTATCAGAGAAACTGAGATGTTTATTTTCTAAACATAATGTCCCAGTGGCTTTTAAACCCCAAAATACATTATGGCAAAGACTGGTTCATCCCAAAGATCCAGTCCCCCGGCACAAACAGAGTAATGTTGTGTATGTTGTTCAGTGTCAGGAGGGTGATCAGTCTTACATCGGGGAAACTAAACAGCCACTGGCCAAAAGGATGGACCAGCACAGAAGATCAACATCATCAGGCCAGGACTCTGCGGTCTACACTCATCTCCAGGCCAGCGGTCACTCTTTCAGGGATGAAGATGTTCACATCTTGGACAGAGAGGAACGATGGTTTGAAAGAGGAGTAAAGGAGGCCATCTTTGTGAAAAGAAACCGTCCATCATTAAACAGGGGTGGAGGCCTCCGGGTTCAACTGTCCCCCTCTTACAATGCTGTGATTGCTAGTATCACTCAGCCCTCTGTGAACAGTAAACAGCCATCAGTGTGCTAATGATCCATTGTTAGGCTGATGGTCCTTCTTGACCATGTGATCAGCTGGTTTTGGTTGTCAGCAGCAAACTGGTTGATCCACTCTGAGAAGGTGCTATTTAAGAGACTGAGCTGAATACAGCACCTCAGACTGAGGAAGTCTCTCGGATGAGAGACGAAACGTTTCTACATTTTTTTGTTGTTTTGCTTTGTTTTGTTTTTTGGAATGTCCAGAGGACCAGATTTAACTTTTTTAGATTTTTCTACCTGGATAATTGAGCATGCATCAGGATGTTTACTAGTGCTGTTTCTGTGTTATGATGTGCTCTATACCCTGACTGAAACTCTTCAAACAGATTATTTCTTTGTAGATGTTCACGTAACTGACCTGCAACTATTTTCTCTAGAATTTTTGAGATGAACGTTAGATTAGATATAGGTCTATAATTGGCCCCAATTCCTGAATCATAATCAGGCTTCTTAAGTAAAAGTTTAATTACAGTGTAGCATGAATATGCGCGCCCTGTCTCTGACCTCTGACCCTTGGGGTTGTCTACCAGACTCACCATGAACTGTTTTCTTTAAAGTTGTTCTAAACTTGAATAATGTCTGTTTTCACACATTCGCTGTCCTTGGACTCAGAGTCAGCTACAGTCTGACTACCGGTAATATTTATTCTTTTCTTCTATGCCTTTAAGAAAGAAAAAAAAAAATTAATGAAGTTTGTTTTATTTGATTATAACAGATGTGAACATGAATGATGTTGATTATTGTTTGCAATCCATCCATCCATTATCTTTTACACGCTTCTTCTATTTTGGGTCACGGGGGTCGCCGGTGCCCATGTCCAGCAATCACAGTACAAGGGGCGGGGTACACCCTGGACAGGTCTCCAGTCCATCACAGGGCCACATAGAGACAAACGAGACAAAAACCCATTCACTCTCTCACTCACACCTAGGGACATTTCAGAGTTACCAATCAGCCTAACATGCATGTTTATGGTCTGTGGGACGGCCCTCAAGCCTTATGGCAAGCCAAGTGTCTCGTTAATAGGTAAAAGTAGCTATTAATGAGACACTTGGCTTGCCATAGAGAGCCACCTTCATGTCGCTCCGGAACTCAGGGAGCAAACGTCATATCAGCTGCATTTCGCCTGGGCAGCGCGGCAAAATGCAGCTGATTTCACCATTAAAGTGCATTTATTAAGGAAGAGTTCAATTGAGGCACACATTTGCTATAACGTTGAGCAAACAATTGTTTTTACTGTAGGTGGTTATCTTGTTAAATTTTGAATAAATGCACAGCGAGTCCTCCCTCTGCACACTCCCACGGCCACAAATCGATTTTTGAAATGCAGCTGATTTGACCATTAAAGTGCATTTATTTGCTATAATTTTGAGCAAACAAATAATTGTTTTTAAGTGTTAATCTTGTTAAATTAAATAATAAATAATATTGTTAAGTACGTAACCATTAATCAGAGACTAATTAAGCAGATCCAAAATGGGGATATTAATTAGTGGAAATACCTCTTTAAACGGTCTGGTTGGGATTGGATCTAGCAGACATGTTGATGGATTGGATGAAGCTATTATTTTTTTACAATTCAGAGAACTCAACAAGACAAAAACAGTTCAAGCATAAATCAGTTTCTAGTGACATTTTTATAGCTGCCTCATTTGACAGGAAATCAGAGGCAGTAGTAGGAAAGATGGTGTGAATTTTATGCCTAATGGAAATAATTTTATTTATAAAAAATCTCATGACGTTATCACTGCTTGTAGCTGTAGACATACATGACTCAATAGAGGTAGAACTTATCATTAGTGTAACTCTAGTATTGAACAGAAACCTGGGGTTATTTTTATTCTCATATTAAATATGAATATACAGTTCTAGCTTTACGGAGGGCTTTCTTATATGTTAGCAGGCTATCTCTCCTAATTAAATAAATTATTCAATGTTATTGGAGCGCCATTTTCTTTCCAGCTTTCTAGATGCCTGTTTTAATGTATGTAACTGAGAATTGAATCAAAGAGCCAGCTTCCCTCTGACTGATCACTTTATTTTTCAGAGGAGCAATTTTATCAAGTGAAATCTGCATTGAAGTTATAAAATTATCAACAAGTATTTTTGAATTGAATTGAAAAATTGAACTGAGAGGAGACCCGGGGAAGACCCAGGACATGCTGAAAAGACTATGTCTCTCGGTTGGTCTGGGAATGCCCTGGGATCCCCCCAGAAGAGCTAGAAGAGGTGGCTATGGAAAGAGATGTTTGAGCCTCCCTGCTCAAGCTGCTGCCCCCGCGACCAGACTTCAGAACAAGTAAAAGATATTGGATGGATGGACTGAATTGAACAAGATCATCAAGGTTACTGCTCTTTGGCGCATTACTCTGCAAGATAGAGGAAAACACCAAAGAAAGAGATATTAAAGTCCATGCTCAATAATCCAGGTTCAAAATCCAACAAAGTTAAGTCAGGTCCTCTGGACAGTTTCTTTTTGTTGAAAGGTTTCGTCTTTCATCCAAAAGACTTAATTAGTCTGAGGAGCCACAACAAACTCAGTCTTATAAATAGCCACTTCACATAATGGGTCAACCAGTTTGATGGTGCTAAAATGGTTTCTGGAGTCCACCTTCTCCTCCACCGGCTAGTCTGAGGCAGCCATGGCCAAAGCGGTTCAAAACATCAAAGTACATGCTCAATAATCCAGGTAAAAAAAATCCAACAAAGTTGTCAGGTCCTCTAGATGGTTTCTTTTTGTTGAAACGTTTCGTCTTTCATCAAAGACTTCATCAGTCCTTTGGCCATGGCTCCCTAAAAGGAACTTCAGTAAATACTTGAGTATTTCATGAATTGTTAGGGTTTTGATTTGCAGCTTTAGTTGTAGGTGGGGCAACATTCTCCAAAGTGAGGCCCAATCAAAAACAGCTTAAAAACCACTGTTTCAAGGAATGCTAGGCCTTGAATTGATCCAGTTTTTGTGTCTCTGACATCCAGCAAAACTAATTATGTCCACTTCAGTCATTTAGTTCAAATTTCAGTTTGAACCTGCATCCTGTTGGCTTCAGCTCACATCTTTTATTCTTTATTCAGACTGGAACGCTGCAGCATTTCAGAGATCGGCTGTTCTTCTCTGGGCTCAGCTCTGAAGTCCAACCCCTCCCATCTGACACAACTGGACCTGAGTAACAACAACCTGACTGACTCTGGAGTGAAGGAGCTCTGTGGTTTCCTGGAGAGTCCAAACTGTAAACTTGAGGTTCTGAGGTCAGTTCACTGCAGCTGTTGGAGGTTTTCTATGTTTGTCCAACTAAAATCATTCCCTGATACTTCACAATTTATTAATTTATAAATGTGGCTTATTTGGTAGAGCTGTTGCCTCTCAGCAAGGTCGCCAGATCGAATCCTGGCCAGGGGCTTTTTTGGGTGGAGTTTACAGGTTCTCTTCGTGCTGCGTGGGTTTTCTCCAGGTATTCAGGCTTCCTCCCACAGACCAAAACATGCATGTTAGGCTGGTTGGTAACTCTAAATTGTCCCTAGGTATGAGTGAGAGTGAATGGTTGGTGGTCTTGTTTTGTCTTCATGTGTTCCTATGTTGGACTAGAGACCTGTCCAGGTGTCCCTGTGATGGACTGGAGACCTGAAAAGGAAGAAGTGGGTAAAGATGATGGATTGATCAAATATACATCACTTACCATCTGCTCTGTGTGCATGTGTGTGTGTCTTTGTTTATGTTACTTTGTAAGGCTAATTTTTCCAACTTGTACTACATCGTGAGGACAAACTGCTCCTAGGCTTAGGGTAAAGGTAAGGGTTAGGCTATAGAAATTATTGAAAAATGAATGTAAGTCAATGCAAAATCCCTGTAAAGATAAAAAGACAAGTGTGTGTGTGTGCGTGTCGTTGGTAAAATATCTAACAAGCCACTGGATTAAATTTTCAGGTTAATCATTGACTAATCAACCTTAGTTTGCAAAAAGAAAAATTAAAAATCTGCAACAGTGAATTTTACAGATATTGAGCCTTATTTTGGTGTGGGAGTCCTCCACAACACAGACTCTGAGGTCCAACAGAACTCCTCTGATGATCTTGGTGTGAAACTGTGGGATAAAGGCCACAGGTAATATTTCTTCAAGAAGCGTTAGGCCTGTGGAGCGCGCTCCTCTGGGGGGGTCCAGGGCGGTGCCGGAGCCGGGGAGGGGGGGCAACGTTGCAGAATAACTCTTTTCCACAGGCCCAACCATTGCAATGCGTAGTTGCAGCCCAAACCGATTTTATTGAAGCACAACGGTCGTGGACTTCAGAAGGAATAAACAAACCTACCCCCCCACATAGGAGGATCTGCAGTGGAAGTGGTCTCCAGCTACAAGTACTTGTGTGTGCACCTGAACAATAACCTTAGCTGGAGCAACAACACCACCAGCCTGATCAAGAAAGCTCATCAGAGACTCTACTTCCTCAGGCGGCTGAGACGAGCTGGTCTGGGAAGTTCAGTCCTCACCTCCTTCTACAGGTGTGCAGTGGAGAGCATCCTGTGCTCCAGCATCAACGTGTGGCATGGAGGCTGCACATAAGATGTTGGAGTCAGTCTCTCCACCATCACAAACATTTACACCTCCAGCACACACACTTTTTGCCCCGCTCCCCGCAGGCAGAAGGCTGAGGAGCATTAAGTGTAGAACCACTAGACTGAGGAACAGCTTCTACCCTGAAGCTGTTAGACTCAATATCTAACCAGGATAATCACCATGAAGAAAAATAAATCACTATAATGCCACTTTATTGTTGATATGTGCTGCTGACTATCCATGCTGCTGATCTCATGCTGCTGATTTACTTCACATTGCTGTATTCATTCATGCTCATCTGCTCACACAGACTCATGTTCGTGCTGCTGTTGTTTGGCGTATTGTTTTTGTACCACTAGTGTTTAACGTATTCTTAGTTTAGTGTTTTTCTTAGTTCATATCTTAGATCTTTTACTGTTTTTCTTCTACAATTTATACTTTTATTGGATGTAACTGGTACCCTGTGTACATAGTTTCGTTCCACCTCATGTACCACATGCAATAATGACAAAGAACCTTGACCTTCTTTATAACGGAGTGTAAGTTAGGAGAATGTATGTGTCATGAGTATGTGTCAGAGATTTTTTGGTAAAAGGTTATGGATGTTTTATTATTAACATTCTTCCCCTGAGAAAAAAACAAATGAATTATCTCCTGAAACACTCTCTTATCCTGAACTAGAGAGATGCCCATGCTGTGAAGGCATAACAGTATGTTATCGCTAAGATCAAGGATTTCTATTGAGGACCTCTAAATTGAGTTAATTCATTGTGTTTTTAAAAAGACGTGAGGAAGACGTCTGTCACATTTATATGTTTAAGATCCAAGTCAACCCAGCTGAGGTGAGTTCTCATGCTTCGATGCTTGCTCCTTGTTCTAAACGCTCACGGCAGGTGTTGTTCCAAAAAGAGTTTGTGCGCACAGCCTGTTAGTCATCAGTGGACAAACTAATCATTTAGTTCATATTTCTGTTTGAACCTGCATCCTGTTGGCTTCAGCTCACATCTTGTATTCTTTATTCAGATTGTGGAACTGCGGTTTGTCAAAGATCAGCTGTCCTTTTCTGGTCTCAGCTCTGAAGTCCAACCCCTCCCATCTGATAGAACTGGACCTGAATACAAACAACCTGAAGAAACCAGATGTTGAGCAGCTGTTGGGTCTTGTGGGGAGTCCAGACTACAAACTGCAGACTCTGAGGTCAGTAGCTGGTCCGAGTAAGTCCTGTCAGCTGTATTAGACTAAACCCAGCCATTATCAAAGCAAAGATCCAGTCTCCTGCAAACCTGCAGCTTTTCTTAGTAGAGCCGTTAAACTACTTCATGACTGGACTCCAAGACAACAGTCAACCATTCAGATTAGCCAGAAGCTAGTGTTCACATGTTTGTGTTGTTGTGAAGATGACTGTTGTTTCCATGTTGACTGGAAATAAAGCTGGACTCCAGCTGACAGCCTGACAACAGAGCCTGTATCATGTCAACACGAAACAGCTGATCAGTTTCTGCTTTGTCACAGCTCTGGGATCAGAAATGGCTGTCTTCTCATTTTTCTGCATTTGGAAATGATTACCTTTGTGAAGGAAAATGATAAATGGACTGTACTTATATAGTGCCTTTCTATCTGATCAAGATGCTCAAGATACTGAAGTTAAGATGAGCTGAGTCCTCCTGACCGTCCACGAAGGCTGTGTGGAAAAGAGACCTTGCTGGAATCATGATGATAATCAAGTGACTTTAATCTACATTTTCTAGTGTAACATTTATGGTTCTATCTGTCTTGTTCTGTTCGTGACAGTGAGTTAAAACTGGAGTTTAAAAGAAGTCAAAATAAGCATCAAAGACTCAAGCTGTAATCACGATTTTCTGTCAAATTCAAGTTTCATCTAAATGCCACATGGGTGTAAGTTGCATTCAATGTTTCATTTTCTGCTTTAAACAAATTTTGACCAGTCTTCAAGTTCAGCACCAGTTTTTAAAATGTAGAGCTCTTGTTGAAAATAAAACTGTGGGCTTCCTGTCTGATGCAGTCAAAGACGGGGTAGCTTCAGAGGAGAATAATCTGATGGATGAAGTACTCCTGTCTTTTTTGTTTGGTCTGAAATACATTTTCTTTTTAAACGTATACTCCCAAAAAGGAATAAAAACATCCACTTAACAAAAAAACTCGACTACACTTTACATGCTGAGCAAGAAAGGACTTACAAATGTCTAACATGTAAGTTGTCTGTCCATCCATTCATTGCCTTCACCTGAGCCATGGGGAGCTGGTTCCAGTCCAGCTGTGACGGGTGTGTGTTAGACCCTGAACAGGTCCCTAGAGAGACAAACAGCTGAGGGAAAAGAACACTTCGTTTTCAGTGTTTAGACCAGAGGTGTCCAAACTTTTTAATTTGTGGACCAAAACTGTCCAGATAAACATAACCACAACCACAGATATGATTAGATTTAGATAATTAACACAAATATAGTATTTTAATGATTTTATTTCCAGCTGCCACCTGCTGGATCCACTCAAACTACATGCAGAAATCTAAAAGATAAATCAGGTCCTCTGGACAGATTCAAAAAATAAAAAAATATAAAAACTTGTTGAAATGTTTCGCCTTTTATCCGAAAGACTTCTTCAGTCTGAGGAGCTGCAATAAACTCAGTCTTATAAACTGCACCTTCTCATAGTGGATCAACCAGTTTGTTGTTGACGTCCAGAACTAGCTGTTCACACGATTCAAGTTCAAGCCAAATATATTGTCATTCACATCACACGTGGTACATGAGGTGGAACAAAATTAGGTACACAGGGTCCCAGTTACACCCAACAATAGCAAAAATATAAAGTGTAAAAAAACAAAGGATCCAAGATATACACTAAGATATACGGTAAACGAATGCCAAATGGTACGCTAAAACAGGCTCTCAAACTTTTTGGGTTGAGGGACCCCTTACAGGGCGAAAGATTTTCAGGGACCCCCTCATGTTTAATAAATAATGTTCTTTCAATTTGTCTCTTTAATTCTAGAGCCATTCTAATTTATTTCTATTAATTCTAGAACTGCGCCACTCAAAGTGGATGTATGTTGGAGTAGCTGTTACTTTCATTCTGGGATATTGCTTTTGAAAACTTTATTTCCTCTTTTTCTGAATGTAATCCCCCCCCCCCCCCCCCGATCATTACTTCCTCTGGTATCAGATGCTGTGCGGCTGGAAGGATTTTTACTGAAAACATTTTTACTTTTGGACATTTATTATAATCCATAACCACAAGGTAGTTTTTACAACCAGGAGCAGCTGATTAACATCTCAAAGCTCAAATAATACCTCAAATACAGCCCCAAATCCCAAATGAGTTGTAAAGGAGGCGCCGTGGATGCATCTCCGTCTACCTGGTGGAAGTGCTCGAGTGACTGCCGAGATCCTGGAGCTGGCAGGAAACAACTCACGACTAGATGACCAAGATCATTCCCCAACACCTGCAGCTGGCTGTCTGCAATGATGAGGAGCTCAACAAGCTGTTGAGAGGAGTGACCATCGCTCAGGGAGGAGTTCGCTCAACATTCAGGTGGTCCTGCTGCCCAGGAGGACCAAGAGGCCCGCACGGTCCAGGTGGATGGATCGGCATCTGCAGTTTCTTCAGATCTGCTGTGGGATGGACTGCTGCAGATCCTTCCTGCCCACAGCCATCAGCATGTAGAACAACTCTTTAATGGCAGCATGATGGCTCGGTGGTTAGTACTGTTGCCTCACAGCAAGAAGGTCCTGGGTTCAATCCCTGGTTGGACCTGGGGTCTTTCTGTGTGGAGTTTACATGTTCTTCTCGTTTTTGTGTGGGTTTCTCTGGGTTCTCCAGTTTTCTCCTACAAACCAAAAAACTTGCATGTTTTTTTTTATTTGAGCCACAGTAGAAATGTCTGTGGATTCTTCAGGCCCAGGCCTCCATTCCAAGAGATCTGTGACCTCAATGGGATTTGCCTGGTTAAATAAAGGTTAATAAATAATAAATGAAACCAGGATGATGAGCTGCAACATTTAATTTCTCTTTGTGATTAATAAAGTATTTTGAATTGAATTGATGACATGGAAATGTTTGTGTAAAAATATATTTAAGACCAGTTCTTTAATAGTGTTAATACAATTTCTATATTAGTTTCAATATGGGATATTTTTCAATCAAGACAATAATTTTAATTTCAACTACCAAAAATTAGTTTTGAGAAAATTAACAGTATCAAAAACCACTTTAAAACTTTACCTATTCATATAATAAACACATTAAATGTATTTCCACCTTCAAATAATCACAGAAAACTTTTTACATAAAGCTGAACAGAATCATAACAGCAGAAGTCATATCAAGTAAATATTTATAGAATTAAAAGTATTAAAAACCACTTTAAAACTTGACTTATTCTCACAATGAACATAATAAATGCTAAAATGTTTACCTTTGGTTTTAATACGTCCTCACCTGTCGTCCTGCCCGGCACCTCCTTGCAGAATAGTTAGTCTTCCAAAATGCCCAGGGGTAGCGCACAAAAATAATTAATTGAGCCACAGTAGAAATGTCTGGATTCTTCCAAGTGAATAGAAAATTGCTCACATAAACGCAGTCTCTCCAGCAGCTGTGACTGTACGTCAGCTGAGAGTTCTTCAGTTCTTCTCTTAACAGTGTCCTTTGAAAGTGGTACAGCTTTAAGCTTATTAGCTGCCTCTGCACCCAGGACAACTTCATACATTTCCACTGCTGCTGGGAGAGTAAGTTCTTGTCCAGTCGAGTGTGGCTTCTTACTTTTTGTGATCCGTTGAGCCAATTAATAAGATGACCAGACGTCCCCAATTTCCGGGGACAGTCCCCATTTTGGACGTGTACCCGGCTAAAGCTGTCCCCGAAAATGTCCCCGATTTTAGCGTTTTATGAATGAAAAAACAAGGATATGCTGTGTGTACACTGTTATTACAGTAGCCAGGTAGAAAGTGTGAGTACTGTATGTTGCGTGCAACAACAGCTATTACTGCAGCTGGTTGCACTGCTGCTGTTACAAAGAAGAAGAAGAGCGCAGCACATCGCCTTTAAAACAGAAGAGGCAGCGCGAGGAGTTCTCCTGTGTTTTGGTATGTGTGAACAGATTTATTTTATTTGAACTGGGCTAATCCTAGCTGAGATAAATGTTTGGTTTGTGGTAGGAAATGTTTTTAGTGTCGTCAGTTGTGCCCAGGTAAAAATAAAAATAGGGCTTAGGTGTGTTTAACTGAGTGAACATATGAAAGTTACGCAGTGACAAAAAAAAAGGTTAAATCATGTTTTGTGGACAGTCTCCCTTAAAGAAACTGGAGCAGATGACACGACTTAACCTTTTTATTTTGTTATCTACCTGTATGATGGAGCCTACAAAGCATTTTTCCTAAGTGACAAACTGAATTGAAAATGATGAGGGAGAGATCATCTGCTTAAATGTGCAAGCTGGTTCGTGTGCTGCAGCTGGAACATCCACTCCACAGACTAAGCAACGTCTCCTCTTGTATTTTTAATAAATAATCAAAAAATTAAAAATGCGCCATGACTTTGGACTTTTAGGGGCAGAGATTTGAGTTGTCGGATCCGAGCAAACAGTTGCTGGAACACACCCGGCCAAAATGAGTGTTCACAGAACTTGTTCCGGCTCAAATTAACCCCCGCTGATACCAGATCTACAGTTTTTTTTCTGATATGGGTACAGATACTGATACCAATATCAGATTGGTGCATCTCCAAGCTCCTCATTCATACCCACCTCATCAGGCTCATCTGAAGGTAGCAATATAATATAATTAGTGAAGCGTCTACAAGAAGGGACAGAGCAGACTGTACTTCTTCAGGAAGCTGAAGTCCTTCAGTGTTTGCAGCAAGATGCTGCATATCTTCTATAAGTCTGTTGTAGAGAGTGTTGTCTCTTCTGCCATCATCTGCTGGGGGAGCAGCACCAGAGCAACTTAAAAAAGATCAAGAAGCTCATAAAGAAGGCTGGCTCAGCAAGGGGGACTCCTCTAGAACCTTTGGAGATGATTGTACAAAGGATTCTTCATAAAATGAAGAACATTATAGACAACTCTCAGCATCCTCTTCATCAGACTGTCATACAACAACAGAGTGTCTTCAGTCAGAGGCTTCTTCAGATCTGCTGTAGGACAGACACTACAAGAGATCCTTCCTGTCACAGCATCAGCATCTAAAACAACTCATGAAACCAGGATGTTGCATTTAATTTCTCTCTGGGATTAATAAAGTATTTTTTAATTGAATTACACAATAATGTAAGATGCATCAGGGTTTTCTCATACCATTTACCCTCCCATCAGATTTACTTGTGGAGGACACAACTCCCCATCCCTCGCATGCAACACCTCTCAACGTCTCTAGAAAATTAGGGAAAATTGGAACATTATCACAGCTACAATTTAAAATAGAGGATATTTTTTTAAAACCTGCCTCAGGGATTATTCTTAAACACTTCTGCCATGAAACATTTTTAGTTTTATGACGCCCTGCAGTCGGTGCCATAAACACACATTGCATTTTAATTGCAGGGAATATCCAAATACCGAACATGAACAAATAAATGCCTTGTCCTTCATACACTTGAAATCAAACCTGGTACTTTTTGTTACTGTACGGTTTTCAGTCCTCCTGAAGAGCCGGCGTCTCTTCTCTGGTGGTTTATCGTAGCTCAGACACAAAGTAGGATTCGTTTTCCTCCGTCAGCCGTTTGTCAACAAAGTGAAATGAGCGCACAGCATTTTGGGTGGTCCCTTCAAGTTCACAGATTTTTCAGTCACATTCGTCTTTTCATCTGCAGGTAGGCGATGGAAACTATACCACTTTTCACAGGAACACTCTTAACACGAGAAGAATTAACGTTTTGGGGGTTAAAGAGGCTGATTCATGAATAATTCAAAGTAATTTTCCTCTAAAGAGGTGGTGCCCTGAGTATTTATATATTTATGAGCATAATTAATCAATAATACACCACATGTCTCACTACAGCAGGAACAAATGTTCAGTTTAGAAAACAGCAACAACCTTTTAAACAACAGCGCTGTGCAAAGTGCAGATGTTTAAGATTAGCTAATAGCATTTTATCAGATTGGTATGCCATTATTGAGAAAGAGCAAAACAATAAAAAGGTACTTTCTTGGCTAACTATTTTAATGAAAAATATCTGCCTTTAATTTAATTATTTTACACCAACTAAATAATATGTAAAACAACTTCTGTCACTATTGAAAAACGTAACATTTTAATCTAAAACAGTGAAGTCTGGTCCTCTGGACGGGTTAAAAAAACCCCAAAGAATTGTAGAAACGTTTCGTCTTTCACCTGAAAGACTTCTTCAGTCTCCAGACCGAGATTTTATTAGAAAATGTTTCTTTATGAAAGCAGTCTTCAGACTGAAGAAGTCTTTTGGATGAAAGACTAAACGTTTCTACAATTCTTTGTTTTTGAACTCATCCAGACGACCAGACTTAACTTTTTTTTTAGATTTTTCTACCTGGATTATTGAGCATGCATCAGGATATAACAATTTAATCACACTAACAAAATAAATCAATCAAGACATCTAACTGTCAGAAAATAAACTATCAGGGTGAAGACACTTTGATTTCCAACAGTTATTTGGCTAAAACACCAGTTACCATTTCAATTTGTAGTCATTCAGATAAAAGCTGCAACTATTTGCTTTACAACTGACGAGGTCTGTGGTGGATTTGAGTCATGCTTTTATTTAATTCTAATGCAAAAGACAAAGAAAAATCAGGAACAAGTATACACAAAATCTACTAGTTAAGATAAACTATTACCTTTGAAGGTCTAGAAATAAACAGTCTCAAACAATAAGGTGTAGATGTCATCAAATCTAATAAAGTTTTGGAGGAAGTCAGTCAAAATACAGAAAATCAACGCATCACAACACTAAACTCCCAATGCTCGCTCTGGCTTGGTTCTGATCCTAGTCTTGTCCTAGTGTTGACAGAACCAAACCCAGGCAGCTACTAAAAAGAACAGTCTCGCATAAAATAAAACCTCCTCAAGGATCCTCACGGTGGAGGGGAGCCAGCTGTTCCTGGCACCATCGTTCCACAAATGGTGATATTAAAACATGGTAATAACATGCCCTCCAGATCAAATGACACAGAATAAGATAAGATGGCTCACACATAAGGATCGTTATATAATGAAGTATCACACATACACGTTTCCCCTGACAAAATCATAAACAGCATTCAGAATACACAACCTACAGATGTGGACAGTAACCGTGGTAACAGACCACAAACCTCCACACCTCACAGACTATTTAACAACAAACCTGAGAACTGAACACTTTAGTTCTGTGTGACCTCTTGTGGGTCTTCAATAGGTCATGGGACAAATCCTGTACTGGTTTTTGAGTTTGTGGCAACTCACTGGGAGCAAACAAACTCCACTTGAGTTGGGTGCAGGGTGGTGTCAGGTAATTTTAGCTTCATGTATAAAAGTAGCCTAATACTACAGTAAAGTTGGAGTTCCACCTCGGCAGTTCCGACATCGTTTCATTCATATTTTGACGTTGTGATGTGAACATTATTCATCTTACAGGAATGCCATAGCAGTGATAAAAAAACCAACAACTATACAAGTTAGTCGCATTAAAACACAATTAGGTCATTTGCATGCGACTTGTTAATTAATCAATTAACTAATTGGGGACTGCCTTTTAAAAGTCAGACATCTATTATTTTTCACCTCAAAAACAGGTTTCTTAACTTTATTTATATCGTATACACGTTACATCAACTTTAATGTGGCCAGAAACGCAACGTGCACCCCCACAAATGTCACAGTGATGTGCGCTTACTACTTGATGTGCGCTTATTACTTTTAGCGGCGTTTTGAGTTACCATGGTGACGTAATTTGCTAAAACTAACAAAAATGCAATTTTTACCTATTTAAAACGTGTGACAGAACACTCCTCACACTAACTGCTGGGGGAGTGGTGGCGCAGAGGTTAGAGAAGGTGGGCCTGTGACCGGAAGATCGCCGGTTCAAGCCCCGGTACAGACATCAAAAAATGTGGGTGGGGTAGGTGAAGCACCCACACCTGCCCCCACCCTCATCTACCCCACTCTGGGCCCATGAGCAAGGCCTTTAACCCCCATCTGCTCCCTAAACAGGTCTCTCGAAAATGAGTTCTCGTGGCTCAATGAGAATAACTGGATAAATAAAAGGCTAAAAAAATAAATGCTGTGAGTGCCTTAAGAGTGTAGAGGTCCCTGAAGAACACAGGAAGTCACTGTTGGAACTGTTTGAAACTCAGAAAATAATCATCAGATAAATGTCTGGAACTGATTAATGTTTGGAGCCATTTTGATTCAAGATGGCTGCCACAGCTACCTCAGCAATCACAGAATTGACTACAACTCAAGTCGTTATTTGAGATATTGAGCTGAAATTGTAATACTTGTTAAACAGTTCTAATGCAAATCAAACATCCAAGATGGCCATCTTAGCTAAAAGAGAAGAAATATGATAAATCGACCATTTTTAGAGCTATTCAGCTGAAATTTGGCGTATTGGTAGCTAAGAACGATCCCTAACAGACTGACTGAAAATCAAAAATCCAAGACGGCCACCAATGCTACTTTTAAATGGCTTGAAGCCAGCCATTTTTACTCAGAGCTGAAATGTGGTGGTTATAGCTGAGAATGTTCCCAATCACATACTGAATAAAAAAATAAAATAAAATAAGCCAAGATGGCTGCCTACGCTAAAAAAAAGGAAAAAATACGATAGCTCGGCAATTTTTAGAGCTATTCACCCGAAATATGGTATAGTGATAGATGAGAGTGAACCCCAACACATAGTACTGTCAAATCTTTTTTTTTTTTAATTTAATTTAATTAATTTATTTTTTTTAATCGGCAGCAGCCTGGCAGTCCCCATCAAAGTTTCTCCAGGAACTTTCTAGTTGATTAAATCACAATTCCCTCAGGAATTACACAAATAACATTTCATGGGGTTTGACCGTTTGGAAATATAAGTAATTTGATTGGTTGGTTGGTTCTGTCCACTTATTGCACGGCCACTGAACCAGCATTTTAAAACCAGCATCCATAGCCCAAATTATGATCTAAGATTTAATTAGTTTATTTTTAAAGTATTCTTAAGAAACTAGGAGCAAATCAGTTTGGGAACTTGTTGAAAATTGTCACAGAATATCTTTTTTAATTTTTATATAAATAAAAAATTTTAATTAGGCGACAAGATACCAGTTGCATCTCATGGCCTTTAAGTTATTTTAACATTTACAGTAAGAAAGTTTACTCTCCTGTGTGGACTTTCATGTGTCTGTTTAAATTTGTCTTCTGACTAAATCTTTGTCCACAAAGATCACAAGGAAACATCTTGTCTCCTGCGTGAACTCTCATGTGTCTGTTCAGACTTGTCTTCTGATTAAATCTTTTTATACAAATATCACAAGGATATGGTTTGTCTCCTGTGTGGACTCTCATGTGTGAGTTTAAATTTGACTTCTGGCTAAATCTTTGTCCACAAAGGTCACAAGGAAACGGTTTGTCTCCAGTGTGGACTCTCATGTGATAGTCTAAACTTATCTTATAACTAAATCTTTGATCACAAACATCACAAATATATGGTTTGTCTCCTGTGTGGACTCTCATGTGCGTGTTTAAATTCGTCTTCTGACTAAATCTTTTTCCACAATGATCACAAGGAAACGGTTTGTCTCCTGTGTGGACTCTTATGTGTGAGTTTAGATGTGCTTTGCAAGCAAATTTTTTACCACAGTCATCACAGCTTATTGATTTTGGCCTTGCCTGAACTTTCCTGCTTGACTCTACTACAGCTTTTTTCTCTCCAACACATTTCTTATTAACCAGACACCTTGAAAACTTCATTCCTGAATGACTTGTCATGTGCCTCTGAAAAGTGCGGTTACTGACATACTGCTTACCATACTCAGAGCAGCTCAAAGATTTGCTGACAGTTTTTACCTCTGATAAATCAGAAGCCCCGCTCTCCTTTCTTTCTTTGATACTATCTTCACATTCTGACTCAGAGTCTGATGAGTTTTTCAACTGAGAATCAGGATTGGTCATTTTACTATCCTCTTTATCCTCCTTAATGCCAGTCTTTGAAGAGCTGGAACCGTTTTTGCGAGTCTTTAAAGCTGGGTTCCTGGCAAGTTTTTTTTTATCCTCATTCTTTAAAGGAACTGTAGTGACCAAAAATGTGTTATCAGTCTTCTCCATATTACGTTGGTCTCCCACCAGACTGGTCCAAGGGTCTTCTCTTCCACTTTATGATAAGAGGCTCTGGGTCCTGCTGGTGCACATCAGGCCTTCAATCTTGAGGAGCTTCTTTTAATCAGCACCAAACATGGACAGGAACCACTGAAACACATGTACATTAATGACAATGTTATGTCAATATTCATTCTCTCGCCGTCTCACGCACGCACATATGCTGGGGCGGACTGACCGTCGGGAGCACCACGACATTTCCCGGTGACCTGGCCTGCTCATGTGCCTGCTGAGGGCCTGGACTAATAGTATTAAACAATTGCTCTTCTCAAGGGCGGACGTATTCTCCTCCCCCTCTGCTTTTGCTCTGTCCTGTCTGTGAAACTGCTTTAGAGCCTCTTCTACAAATTTTCCGAATCATAACTAGGGCTGTATACCTAACAGAGGTTCTTTTATGGCACCGACCGAACTGTGTTGGTCGGTGTATGGATTGAAACATGACTCTTCTTTTGGTGTCAAGTTTTGGTATTGGCTTTAACTTGACACGTTGTTTCAGCAGGCAGGCAGGTAAAAGCAGACATATACTGTAGCAAACAAACTACGTGTTTACACCCAGAGCTGTATAGAGCTACCGTACAGTTGTTTGTCTATGGTGCTGATTACGCCCACAAACGGAGTTCACGTGTACAGCGCGTGCGTGTGACGTCAAACTGCTACGAGCAGAAAGTTGCTCCGTGTTTGTCTGCAAGGAGAGAAAAGAGCACAACCTCCCCTCCTCCTCTCAGCATTACAGTCAGCCTGTTGAGTGTTGAACGGCATGATTCAACATTCCACGACTAGACTCCTCTTCATCAAAGAACTCAGAAGACGGAGCGATGTCTGGGTTTTCAGTTGGTAAGTTTACATTTGTTAACATTACTGCAACTTACAACGTGCATCGCGATGAGTTAAACTAGGATCCATGTAACGCTAACTTTAAGATATTAGTCTGTAGCTTTATTTTATGGCTATTTATGTAGCTAGCTAAACTCAAAAGCTAACTAAAGATTGACAGCAACAGATAAAGCTTAGCTTGTAAAATGTGCTCATCCATCTGGTCAGCTGGTTAAACGGTTCACCTAATGTTCACTGTTCTCCCCACAGGAGCCTCTGACCCTAATGTGAGGAGGAGAAACAGACAAAAGAAAAGCGAGAAGGGGGCATAGGACAGTCACAAACTTTGCTGTTTAAAGTTTGCTGCCTTTTATTTTTATATACAGTGGAGGCTGCATGTTGGCGGTAAGTAAGCTGAAAAGAATGTTGTTGACCAGTTAAACTTTTATCTCTCAGGCTAGATAATGGTTTTTGAGCAATAATAACAACCATGTTATTGTTGATGTTTTGTTCTCATGTCAATTAGGGAGATGATAAGAGTCCTAAACCCCAGAGAACCACAGAGAAGATTCAGGCAGAGACACAGAGGTGCAGAAGTCTGTCATCTACCCTAACCTCAGTGAATCCAGTGACCTGGTGGTGGAATGTGAGGGACACTATGCCAGTGCTATCAAACTGACGACCAGGGATCTGTGTGTG